CTTCTTTAGCCAGATTATATACGGTTATTGTCCTCAAATGAGTGTCTTTTAAGCCGGGCATACACTGTACCATTTTTTTGCCCTTTTCGGGCTGATTCTCCAGTCATGCGAGAATTTTCAGCCTCATCGTGCGTGCTGCGTGGTGTAGTGTACAGCGGGTAACGAGGGCTGATCGGCCTCCAACAACCGCCTCCCCATCAGGAGTCGTAAGGTTGGGAGAAAATCAAACATTTTTGAAATCCAGTCCTCCCTCCTGAGGCGTTGGTGGGTAAATCCTGCCGTTGAAGTAGAGCTACGAGCTGATTTACCAGAACCTCCAGCACTGGGCAAACAAGGGAATTCTTCTTCTTCTTCCAAATTGACGAGTCTGACTAGAGGTCCATCTCTCTGCGCTGAGTCAGAAGTGTGGTTTTTGGCTGCACAGTGGGAGCAGGTAGATCGCATCAGAGCGTCGGGCCGCACAGTGTGAGAGCAAACATCGTGAGATGTGAGCTTTTAAACCCTGAGGTTTAATCGTTCAGTTTGAGCTGTAGCTGCGTGCAACAATTGAGAATATCGCACAGTGGATGCCCGGCTTTAGCCTTCAGGTGTGGGTGAATAACTGAGTCCTTTCTTGAGGAGTTATCCCTCCTGTGTTGATCCATGCGTCTGTGTAGTGGTTGCTTGGTCTCTCCAGTGTACAATTCTGGCCACTTCTTCACTGCACTGACTGGTGATTTATGCCGTAAACCACCAAGACGTCTCCCTTTGTTTCCTTAACAATAAGCAAAATGGTGAAATGCTTCGGGTTACAGAACTGCACAGTTCTGTAAAGCCTCATTTAAGACTTTAGATACCAAAGCCAGAATCCAACAAAAGCCAAAAGAGGCTGCAAACCTAACTTGACCTCTGCCGAAATGCGTCTTACTCTCCTTCTTCTGTTCTGTCTCCAGGCAGCGCTACTGTGGAGCGTGAAGGCCTCTCTGCCACCCTGGTGAAGGACATGAGGAACTACTTCCAGATCAGTCCTGAGTACTTCTCCATGCTGCTGGTGGGGAAAGACGGCAACGTGAAGTCCTGGTATCCTTCGCACATGTGGTCCATGGCCATCGTCTATGACCTGGTGGACTCCATGCAGCTTCGCCGGCAGGAGATGGCCATCCAGCAGTCGCTGGGCATGCGCTGCCCAGAGGACGAGTACGGTGGATACGGCTACCATCAACACGGCTATGAACATGGTTACCAGGACGGCTATCACCAGGGTTACGGTTACTAGACAATGAGTGACAGTCCTGTTTGCTGCTTCTCTGCACCTTTAGCTCAGATATCCCTTCATCGTGTTCTCTGACCATCCTTTACTCCTTAGTCATGGATGTAGACAATCATTTGAAATGTTCTGTGGCACTTAAAGGAAGCTCTTTTCATGTACCCACTTCTTTTCCACATCAGGTGCGTGTAATGGGCTCGTATGCAGAGGATCAGGGACGCTCTGCGTACTGCGGCAGCTTTTCACGTATTTGTCGCCGTCAGGCATCAAGTACTCTTGTAGGGTCGTCTACCCCCTCACATGCTTCGTTGAATCTACGTGTTCACGGTTTCAGGACAGGTGGTTTTGTTGTAGATACTGGGCTTAAAGACGTATTTATTGGAAATCTGTGGCATCTCAAGTGCAATTACTGGGCTTTGTTAGACTTTTTTTTTTTACATTACTTCCCTTCTGGAAAGTCTCTGTTGTTCTACGAGAGTCCTATTTATACCATTTTAGCAAATATGACAAATAAAAATGTGTACTGTTTGTGTTTTCAACTGGAGGACTTTTTGAAGTAAAGGCTGATTTAGTCCCATGGATTCCCACACTGATCCTTCCTGACTGCGATACCTTCTGGTTTCATACGGTCTGGATGTTAGGATACTATTAGAATAAAACTATTTAAACCTCCTGCTTAAAAAAGCTTTTGCAGAAGTTAGAGGATCAACTTCAGCTTTTTAATATTTACTCTAAAAGTGTAAAAGTACAATTATTAAAACTACTTAAAACATGAAAGTCAAAGTAATGCAGGAAAAACTATTAAGGCCAGAAGCTTTACTGCTTTAAAGGAAGATTTTTCTACACTTCTGGATGATAACTTCCTTAGACTTAATCTCTTAGTTTTATAACTAATGGTAACAGCGTCACATTTACCTTTGCATCATCTTGAAAAACTATTTTGGTATGTGGTGAGCAACAAGTTGGGGCAGCACCGAGTCCAACCACAGAGAAAGTCTGGGAAAGACTGCTCCCCCCCGGTCCCAGATAAAGCAGAACAAAATGGAAACTAATTATTCTGATGTTTTTTATATTTTCTCTGCCATTATAAAAATTTGCTTAAATTAAACGAAACTAATGCGTCTATTTTTCAAATTTAAGGAGTAGCAAGTAGTAATAAGTACAAAAAATGTAAGGAGTAGAAGTAAAAAGTCTAAAAAATTAATTACTCCAGTAGAGATAGCCAATATTTCTAATTAAGGGCTCACTTGACACCTCTGCCCCCCGAAGATAACGTTTATTTTAACGCAACACAAACTTAACACTGACAAACTGATCTAAGAGTAATTTCTACATTAGAGAAGGTCATTATAAATTTGCCCCACATTGAAAAATGACCCAACTATGTTGCTTTCATACATTTTAACTGAATCACCTGCAAAAGCTGAAAGTGTGAGTTGCATCCTAAAGACAAACATCCAGACCTAATCTGAGCAGAGTGTCTGCAGGTCGATGCAGTGAGGAATGCTCTGATCTTTATATTGGAGAAACCAAACAACCTCTCCACAGACGCATGGCCAAACACAGAAGAGCGCCCTCCTCTGGACAAGACTCTGCGATACATCTACGCCTGATGGACAAAGGACATTCTTTGGAGGACCAGAATGTTCACATTTTGGACAAAGAAGACAGGAGGTTAGAGAGGAGAGTGAAGGAAGCCATCTATGCTAAGAAAAAATCTGGACTCAGATTCAGCTTCCAAAAACATACATTTAGCGATTGAGTTGATCCCTTTTCCGCAGCCCCAGCCCCTGGAGAGGAGAGTGGAGGACCTCACCTGTTCAGCCAGGCCAACTATTCCCTCTAAAGACCCCCCTTTCAGAGGCATAGACAGGTATGGGGCATTGCAGGCTAACAAAGAAGCCAAACGACCCCCATTCCAAAGGGGGGGACCCGTTTATCCGTTTCTATTTGCATGTTTTCTAAACTAAAACCAGGCTTTGTTGGGCTGCTGGATAAAACCTGGAACTAAACGCTATTTCTGACATTTGGAATTGAAAAAGCTTCCTGGATGGAAGAGAAACGTCTTCAAACTTGGAAACAAAGTCCAGAGGATTGATTTTTTATGTTTTTTAGATGACTACCACCTGAATGACTGAGAATCTTCACCAGCCTATGGTACATTCCTACGTTTTAACTGGATCACCTGCGAAAGCTGAAAGTAGGAGTTGGAGAGTCGATGCAACAGGATGCTACCTGACCTCTGCATTCAGGATGACGGCTGTTCACACGGCAGGCAGAGCGATCCCACTCTCCTCCGTTTCCACCAGGCTGAAGGAAAAGAAGAGGATGTGTGAAGGAGTTCAGCGGCCCTGAGCGGCGCCGCTTTGGGCCGCTGGTTCTGTGAGGCTGCTCCCTCCTGCAACAGCTGCTTCTAAAATATCCAAACCAAACCCTCCGACAAATAAACATAGAAAACTTGCATGTCCTATTACACAAAATAACCCTTAATAATTCATCTAGAGCAGAAAGACGCTCCTTTTGGAAAGATATGCAGTAAATAGTCAATAAAATATGTAGACTAGAAGACATCTATTTATACATTTCATCAGCTGAAAAGAGTTATTTCCTCTCTATAGTGATTCTAAT